AATCAACTCATTTTCCTCAAATTTAAGGAAAATGACTTTCCTTAAAAAATTAAGGAAAACATTTTCAAAACTCTACTCCAACTTCAAATTACAATTTTTTTTTGAAAAAATAAATTTAAAGCTTAATTTTTAAAAAATATTTTCAACTTCAAATTTTTATTTTTTCACCCCTACCCTCGACCCCCCCTCCCCCCAAAAAAAAATTTAAGTTTGTTTTTAAAAAATATATTCAATTTCAATAATTATTTTCTACTTTAGTAAAAATAAAAGATATTTCTCAAAAAACATTTTTCATTCATAAATCAAAACACTAAAAAATCTTTTTTTTAAAAATGTTTTCTATTCACCAATCAAACATGAGAAAATAAATCAAAAATCGACTTGTTTTCCAGGAAAACATTTTCCTTCATACCAAACACACCCATAATTTGTTATTATTTGGCAAATGTTTGTTGAAAATAACCCAAATTCCCAAATACTAGAAAAAACTAGTATTTGGGCAAGTCTCATTATTTGAGCTTTTAATAATTCAAATTCTACACCAATTTTTTATCTTTTACAAGAACACTCTCTATAATACTTGTTTGTGTTGTTTTACATAATATTTTACGTGAACATCAAAGTAGTGATGCAGTATTTAGTGAATATGAAAGTGATGATATGATTATTGATGAAAATGATGAACAATCGGTTTATGATAACAAAGCCATGTGCCATATAATACAAACATATGGTTAGTTTTGATAGTTTTAAAACTTATGAGTATAAATCTTTTTTTTTTAAAAGGTGAAATATATTTTCCAAATTCTATGGCCAAACATATGGTGAAATTTCACCCAACTTTCACCCAAATAATATATACCAAAAATATTTAAAAATATATGATCAAATGATAGCTAATAATTTACACCAAATTTAAGGATGTTTTCAATACTTCTCTCAACCCAAGTATTTAAGTCTTAAGTTAATTAACAACCCACCTCCATAATAATAATAATAATAATAATAATCATATTAAATAAAGTAGTAAAGAGAGAAGAAAAGCGGCTTTGGAAAAAAGAAGAGGCGGCGGTCAGTAGAGAATAAAAACAACGCTATTGGCTCTGTATTATTTAAGTAGAAGAAAAAAACTAAAGCTAGAGAGAGAGGTGATACACAAAAGAGATACGAAAACAACAATATATTTTGTGAAATTCCACAAGTGAGGTCTGAGTAAGGTAGAACTTACGCGGACTTTAGAGGCGGACTCACATGCACCTGATAACTTTTAATTTTTTTGATATATATATGTATAGATAGTCTATAAAATGATAGTATATTTAATTGTGCATCCTTATAATCAAAAGTCATTTGTGAGCACTGGTTGAACCCTCCGCTTTAAAATGCGACAACATGGGTTTGAATCGTGCAAAAGGTAGTATTTTTTGGCCGCCTTTAAAATTAGATTTTTCTTAAAAATTAACCTTTTTAACAATTGTCTTTATTAACCACTTGTTTTTGCCACCTCATTTGGCCCCACCCTTAACCTTACCTTGAGTCACTCTTAGTGGTGCCCCGATCTTCAAATCATGGGTTTGTCTCTGACAGACTTAGAAAACAATGCAAAAATAGTCAAAACAGCAGAAAAATCAAGTGGTAATCAAAATGCCATAAACAATATAATGTGGTAGATTATTATTAACAAACATTAATAAACCATGATTTAAAAAAAACTATAATAAAACAACTACTTACTACCCTTCTACGAGTCCTCCACACCTTCCTATCTAGGATCATGTCCTCAATAACCTGAAGTTTTCCTTATATGTCCAAATCATCTCTTTCCTCATGTTTTCAACCACGAAGGCCACCCACACCTTACAAAAGAGAGAGAAGGAAAGAAAAAAAGAAAGAGAAGAGGAAGAGTGGAGAGAGGAGTGAAGATAACTATTTTACTCTTTTTTTTTTCGATATATTAATCAGCAATGATTATGCTTTAGGGTTTAGAATAAAAACGATTACATTTTGCATATCAAGGACCATTACCGTACAAACCTCATTGACTTAAAAGAATTGAGCTTGGTCCATTTAAAATAAGTAACATTTAAACTCCTAACTAATTACCCACTAACTACTTATGTATTAAGTTAACAACCCACTTCCATAATAATAATAGTCAGTTGTAGTAAAGAAAAGGAAAGCAGCTTTGGAAAAAAGAGGAGGAGGCAGTCAGTAGAGTATAAAAACAACGCTGCTGGCTCCAAAGTCCAAACCAAACAAAAGAGTGGAGGGCAGAACCGTTGGAAGCAAATTAGAGTTATTTAGCAAAGGTATTGTGAGTCATAATTTCTCCATAGTTGATTTTCAATTATAGCATGTTTTAGATTTGTCTTTCGCATTGAAATGATTTATCAACAAATTATAGTATGATCGAATATTTGAAAATGTACTGAATCAATTTTGCCATGACAGTACTCTTGAAGTTATGCTATTATTGAGTTATTATACACTGTTGGATTCGAATTTGACACAAGAAGAATATGAATATATGTGGTATTATGAATAACTAACTATTCAGGAAAAAACTAACTTCTCATTGGATACTCTCTTAGCCTTAATACGTTGGTGTTGTAGTAGGTTGTGTTGTTGTTTATTGAATGCTGATAGGTTTAGATTTATGGTTTGCTCCCGGTACAGAGGAAACTCTACCAAATTTTTTAGCCTGAAATCGCGGTAGGCTTAGGCATACTGAGCACCGGTCATGGCCTAAGTGGATTGAGTCGTGACAATTAAGGACCATTTTGTTCATTTTTCTCAATTTTTTTGTATAGAGTTTCCTCTGAACCCATTTTGAAGATTTTCTGATTTTTGGTTAAAGTTTGAAACTTTCTGAGGATTATGTGTTGACTTAGATGAAATCTAATCAGAGTATTTACTTTCAAGGAAAATGCGCTTTTAATCTGTTATTTGGAGATGCGCTCATCCTTTTGTTTCCTTTCTAATGGATTATTATTTTTGTACATTCAGCCTTGATATGTAACTCCCCTTTAGATTTATTTTTTCTTGATCAGGTTTTTGAGTTTTTGAGATTGTTACTCTTCTCAGACAAAGAGACAAAAGGTTTTGTAGATTGTTACTATTTGAACCTCTGTGTTTGTGTACACTACTTCATGATGGGAACTGAAGATAAAATGCTGCTTTGTTTCTGTCACTGGGGCAGAAGGACAAAGATGCTTCCAGATGGATCCATTTCGTATGGGGGAGGTATTACTGATCAGTTTATTGTGAAAAGAAGCATAAACTACAATGATTTTGTGAAGACAGTTTTTGATCGATTAGGCATTGATCCTTCCGATAAGATGTTGCATTTTACAGTGAATCTTGATAGGTCTGAACTGATACGGCTGAGGGATCAAGAAGGTGTCGATACCCTGTTACAATGTAATGATGGTTTTGCTCATGTTTATGTGTCAAGTTTGCAGGAGGAGCCTTATTCTATACTGCCATCAGGTGGTGCGAAAAAAGTAGAACTTGATGTTGTATCTGATTCTGGACGAGATACAACTCCTGCAGGTGATGATTTGGAAAGCTCGCTGGAGAAGGCACGGTTCCAGTCAGCTGGAGATAGTAGTAAACCTCTGAAGAAAGCAATGGCAAACCAGTTAGCTGGAGGCAGTGAACCTCAGCAGAAAGAAGCTGTTGGTGCTGGTGATCAAAAGCTTGCTGGTGTAACTAGGTCGCGCAGTACTTCAAAATCAAATATAATTTCTGATAAAGACAATTCAGATTTCCTTCAGTGTCGTCATCCTGAATTCAGTGACTTTTTCAAGCATAAAGCTGAAAATTGCTTTGCAGCTGACCAGATATGGGCTGTCTATGATGATGTGCACGATGCTATGCCAAGAAAATATGTCCGCATCAGGAAGGTATTTGGTACTGAATTTAAGATCAGGTTCAGATGGCTCGAGCCTCGTCCAGAAGAAGACCAAAGGGAGTGTGCTTGGGTCAAGTCAGGCTGTGGGAAGTTCATTAGTGGGGATAGTCATTTTACTTTTGATCGATTTTTTTTTTCTCATCAAATGCATTGTGAAAAGGGGACGAGTGATATGTACATTTTATATCCTAGGAAAGGGGAAACATGGGCGCTCTTCAAAGCTCGGGATATTCTTTGGAGTCCACAGAGTCATAGTGAACATAAGTATGAAGTTGTGGAGATCCTTTCTGATTATGTTAAGAATGCTGGTGTCAAAGTTGGTTACTTAGATAAAGTTACTGGATTTGCTGGTGTTTTCCAGAGAACAAAGCTGTCTGTAGCTGGTTCGTTCTTTATAAAGCCAAATGAACTTTACAAGTTCTCTCATCGAATTCTTTCTTTCAAGATGATCGGAACTGAAGGAACGGGTGTACCTGCGGGGTCGTTTGAACTTGATACTGCTTCTTTACCCCTTGATCCAAATGATATTTGGTATCCTGAAAAAGTCAAGGAAAGATCAGGACTTGCAAAATCTGAACCTGTAGAAAATGTTTTGTCAGCAGTTACCCCTGTAACTAGAGGTAAATCCAGGACATCCAAGCATGCAACAACGCCTCCCAAGTCTGAGACTGGGAGCTCGAAACGCGTCCTTTGAGTCCACTCTGCACATTGACATGGATGGAACTGAAATTTTCTGTCATTAGTTGCTCGATTAATGGACTTCGTGACTTGGGTGATGATGATTGCAGTAGCTGCAATAACGGTTATTATGTTTCATTTGATTTCAGTAGCTCGAATTATGATTTCCGAATTAAAGTGTCTCTTGTGTTTTATAACTTAAAAAGAAAAAGGAAAAAAGAAGCTGAAAGACACCAGTAATGCTTTTTATCTTTTCTAAAACTCTTCTGTAAAATTGACGTAATGGCATAAGGATTTGAGTTATAGCTTAAAATCTTTCTAAGTTTCACTTGCATTCTAACTGTTAATTAATGCAATGGAGGCTATTATGTTTAACAAAGCTGAAAAGGATATAACAGCCAACTTGATTAAATTTAATACTCATAGTCCAAAATAAGTGAATTGTTCAAAATTCAAGAGAATTATTGAGACTTTTTTTAAATTTCCAAAGGGTCATAGTGGAAAGTAACACTTTATTTATGTCCTTAAATATTTTTCTCAAAAAGGTGTGCCATAAAACACCCGTCAAAATTTATGACAATTATTTTTTTCTCATTTTATCTTTAATACTAGTAATTATTTTTGAAAATTACAAACACCCTCACAAAAGTAAATATACTCTTTTTTAGTCTATAGTAAGTGAAATTGTTGGGGCATGTAGGGGTGTCAAATGAGCAGGTTATGTTGAAATTATAGATATTAAAATGGGTTGAAATAGAAATCGGGTTGGATCATGTCCGCCTAAATTTTACTTTGGGCTAAAAAACGGATTGGGTCATGATCCACAATTTGTATTTCACCTCAAATTTAAAAAAAAGTTAAATGAATAGATAAATTTTAGAAGATATAAAATATATAATAATTTATATCTTTAATATAGGAACGAATGCAAATAAAGAGTCTTAAAACGGATTACAATTGAAGATTTAATTGGGCTCAATTGAAAATTCTTTTGAAATTGGTTAAAATTTGAAAGAGTTGAGATTAAACTCAATTCAAATTATCTTGAGTCTAACCCATAAAACTTTAGACGGATTACTTATGTTTGGACTCATTTTTGACGCCCAAGAGACATGACACATACTTTAAAAACATATACTCCTTTAAAAACATAAATCAAATGCCCCTTCGATTATTCACACGAAATTAACTCTCTCATTACTGACTCTGTTCATTTTTACTTGTCTACATAACTATAATATTTTGAGATGTCTAACTATATATTTTTTATTTACAAAATTAATGAATATTTTATTATTTTGTGTCTATATTATCCCAATTATTAAATACTATTTATTTTATTATTATTATTTAGAAGACTTATATTTTACCAAATTACCTTTATCATTTATTGTTTCTTAATCATATGTCATAATAGGCCGAACGGAATATTCATTTTAAAAGATTGGGGGATTATAACCATCTTCATTTGAGCTTTATGCTAAAATAGACACGCAAAACTTCCTTTCCCACAGTCGTACGTAGCAAAACCCGAAAAACCCTGGCACCTACTTGCTGTCAATTCCAACAAAAAATTAAACAAGAAGAGCAGAAATGGATGTTAATGGGTCAGCAATGGAGGTCGATGTTGTCAATGTTAGTCCTTGTTTAGCCAGCTTTGTTGATGATGGTACTGTTGAGAGTCACAGGTACTTTCTTGCACGCAAAACTATGCTCGAAATGCTGAAAGATCGTGGTTTTGCAATACCCAATTCTGAAATCGACACCACCCTTCAAGAATTCAGAGAGAAATATGGTCAAAGACCTGATGCTGAGCGCCTCAGAATCTCCGCCATGCACAGAACTGACCTTACCAATAAGGCTAGTTACCCCTCTTTCCTTTCTTGAATCGCCTGTTTTTAGCTTCTTGTAGTGATAATTTCTCTAAAGTTTCAATCTTTTGCCTCGTTAAAGAAAGTATGAAGGAACTCCGAGTCCTTTCCTTTCGTTAGTGAGTGAAATTTGGGGAATGAGCGAAAAAGATTCAAGTATCTTAGGTGATGTCACACATCATATTGGTGTAGTGTGGATAGCCTTGTATCCGGAGTATTGTGCGATAAGAAGTTACCATCAAAATTTAAAGGTATGTTCTATAGAGAGTGGTGGTTAGACTGGCTTTGTTGTACAAGGCTGTGTTGTTGGCCCATCAAGAACTCCTATGTTGAGAAGATGCAAATAGAAATGATGATGATGAGAGATGGATGTGTGGACATACTAAGAGCGATAAGATTAGTAATGAGGATATCCGGGACAAAGTGGGAGTGGCCTCTGTGGTGGACAAGATGAGGGAAGAGAGACTTATATGATTTGAGCATGTAAAGAGGAGATGTGCCTATGCCCTAGTGAAAAGGCGTGAGAGTTTGGATATAGTGGGGATAAGGAGATGCAGACGTAGGCCGTAGAAGTATTGGGGAGAGGTGAATAGACAAGATATGATGCATCTTCAGCTTATTGAAGAGATGACCATAGATAGGAGGGTGTAGAGGTTGCAGATAAGTGTAGAAGATTAGTAAATAGTCGAGTGTTGCCGTAGAAGTATCCTATTCATGTAGTCTGTGGCGTGGTGGTAGTCTAGAGCACCGTATCTGTCATAGTATTAGCCTATTCATGTAGTCTTTGGCTTTTGGTATCTGATATCATCTGTTGTTTATCATGTTTAGGTGATCTCACCTTGTTGTTGATATTATGGTTCCTTGCTCCGCACTCTTTCCTATTAGTTGTCATGTTTTTCTTCGCTGTTTTTTTCTTCTTTGACTTGCTTCACTTGAGTACACTCTACCCTCCCAAGACCCCACTTTCGGAAACAACCTCAGGTCTGCGTACACTCTACCCTCCCCAAGACCCCCGCTTTCGGAAACAACCTCAGGTCTGCGTACACTCTACCCTCCCCAAGACCCCCGCTTTCGGAAACAACCTCAGGTCTGCGTACACTCTACCCTCCCCAAGACCCCCGCTTTCGGAAACAACCTCAGGTCTGCGTACACTCTACCCTCCCCAAGACCCCCGCTTTCGGAAACAACCTCAGGTCTGCGTACACTCTACCCTCCCCAAGACCCCCGCTTTCGGAAACAACCTCAGGTCTGCGTACACTCTACCCTCCCCAAGACCCCCGCTTTCGGAAACAACCTCAGGTCTGCGTACACTCTACCCTCCCCAAGACCCCCGCTTTCGGAAACAACCTCAGGTCTGCGTACACTCTACCCTCCCCAAGACCCCCGCTTTCGGAAACAACCTCAGGTCTGCGTACACTCTACCCTCTCAAGACCTCACTTTGTGGGATTCCATTGGGTATGTTGTTGTTAATAAGAAAATTATTTACCTGATCAAAAAAAAAAATTCATCTCTTAGCTCCATATCCGAATTTCTACCTTTGGGGTTCATATATCTTCAAATTTCTTGTTGATTTTGTTAGAAGTGCATCAATCCTGTTATGTCTGATGGGAATGTGTTCTATGCTTCATAAGTCTTCCTATGGAAATTGGAGGCTCGGCTGAGTTCAATAAAACAAAATTAAGAAGCCAAGAAAGTTGTTGCATTAACTGGTTAGAATCCTCAGCATATTGGAAGATGGTCTCTGATGAAGACGGACTATCAACATTACATTCACGTGCTTCATAGATTTACTAATGTCTTGCATATTTGAACTTGTCACAGGTTTTGGTCATCTTCTGTGGGCCAAATTCGGTGAAAATGAATGTCATCCGCAGTATTTTATCTCAAATAATGAACAAAGAATCCTTGAGTCGGCTGATATTAATCATTGAAAATCCAATGACTAATCCAGCTATGAAGGTTGTGGAGGACTCCCCATTCAAAACTGAAATTTTCCAGGTAAAGTATGTGTTCTTGTTGGTGTTTTTGGTGTGAACAGTTCTATTGCGAGGAATAAACATGGTACTAATTAGGCTATTATTAATATGTGTTCTGCATTTGCTTTAGAATTTAGATATGCTTGGCTAGTGAGTTAGATCTCAGAATGAATAAGGATTTGTCATTATTGACATTTACCTAAGACTGTACAAATAGGTGTATGTTAAAAAAAGTTTCTCTTTAATGAATAAAACATACAACACGTAAAGCGTTTCTGGTTTTCTGCGAACCTCCAGATCTTTCTACTGCTTACCTGTGAAATAAGGAAAAAACTGAAATGTTCTTCCCAAGTCTGGCTTAAAAGGAGCTACATTTACTTGGTTATTGGCTCCCCCTTAATTAATCTTTTGCCAAGACAAGTCCCAAGCTCCCTTTTTTTTTTTTTTATAACAAGTCCCAAGCTCCATTTTTTCCATTTGATGAAGGTTTGGTGGTATTTGGCCAAAGTTTATTTTACATTTGCTAAGTGTCTGGCTCCTATTTGTAAACTCTTTCAGATCACAGACTTACTTGTCAACATCACAAAACATGTTTTAAAGCCAAAGCATGAGTTGTTGACCAACACAGAGAAGGAGCAGCTATTGAAGAAGTACAACTTGGAAGACAAGCAGGTTTGCCTTTGACAGCCTTTGAATTTGCTGAAACATGTCTGTATATCTGTACAACTGTGCATCTCCTTAGTCTATCTGTACAGCGGCAAGTCTTTTAGAGTAAACTCATCAGAAAAAACGATTGATCAATTTTTATCTGGCTTAACTCTACTGTCTTAGAATCAAGCTTTAGTACTTGCTGCCATCTAGGCTTCACATTTAAGAAAATTTTGTCATTTTTGCTCCCTTTACTGTGAAGGTGAAATGACTCAAATGCTGTTCTAAAGTTTTTAGTTTAGGTACTTATAGACTGCTGCCTTTTTTAATGAATGGGAGGTAGAACTTGCCCTGTCTCTCACACACTACTTATCAGACATTAATATCTACGACCTTAGGTGTAGAGACATATTTCTGCCTTCATCTTATGCAGACTAATGGTATTGTTACTGTGCATTCTCTCTAATGATCTCAGCAGAAATTCGTAGTTCATATGCCTATATATGCACTTCAATTGACCACTCTTTCTTCGAAAACTATCAATACAGTTTCATTTATCTAAGTTTTTCTGAGTATTGTTCTTGTATTGATATTTTCCAGCTACCACGAATGTCTCAGAAGGATGCAATTGCTCGGTACTATGGATTGGAGAAGGGGCAAGTTGTGAAGGTCACATACAACAATGAGATCATTGAGACACATGTTACTTATCGATGTGTCTGGTGATGCGACTATGTAAATCCTATGTAGCAGTGTTGTTCTGTCGTACGTTGAGCGAGTCTGCAGTAGCCTAAAGGAAGAACTTGTAGTAGTAATATGTCAAGTACACTATCATTGTTGCTATGTATTTTGTTGTATATCCAGATTGCCTTAACTTCATACTTTTGTGCTAGTAGGGGTGATGGTGGCTACTCTAATTAGCAAAATTTGACCATGTTGCTATGCTAATCGGAGTTTAATAGCTATACTTAACTTTTACATTTATCTATCTTCACTAACTTATATATTAGGGAAGAGTTGAACTTCAATACGCTCCCAGTGAAAGAATATTTTTGACACAGATCATTGAATAGGTAATTATGGATAACTTGAACAAGATTTTGTCTTAACTTATGACAGGAAATTAAAGTTCTGCATGCCTTTATTATATAAGCAAAGCAAAATTTCATAATTTAAAATTATATTAAAGTTATAAATAATAACATTTCATATTTTAAAATACTAAATATATATAGTAATAAAAGAAATTGTATCGTTGTTGTTGTATTAATAAAATTTCAAAATCAGAGGATCTACTTTTTCAAAAACATTAAAATAGTTTAGTACATGTACAAATATTATCTGCCCGCCAATGAGAAGTCAACAGAAACGATTCAACTCTTCTCATATTTTTATGTAAAGAAAAAGTTTCAGCATTTAAATTGAGAGAGATTTTCCAAATATCCCAGTAAATGGTGAAGCCCTAGCTGAGAAATTCGTCACTGCAACCTTTGGGGTTTTAGTAGAGAAACCCCATTTGGTTCAAGTTCAACCACCTGCAGTTCCAACTTGCAAGGTAACTTTTTTTCCCTTTTCTCTATTCACTATTCACAATATTTTATAGTGTATAATATGAGTATGTAGACTTACAGAGGAACAAAGGCATCATGCAGGTGTTTACTAGTCTATTAAGATGTTTCTGGAGTAGTAAATTAGAAAGTGGAAAGGGTGACGCTTGGTGCTCTTTTTCTCCTGCATATTTTTGTGGAAAGAAATTGGTTCAACTTTATTTAGAAATATTTTTTATCCTTGCTTCAAGTTTCAAAACTTTTTGCTTTACTGGGGTTTCTGTTTTGATCCTTTCGCATTTGACGGTAATCTATTGCTTAGTATGCTTTCCGTCTTTGCTAATTTCATGTTTCATAGCAAACTATCTAATATTCACAGAAGATTCTGTAGAGTTCTCTTTGAATCCATATTTGAAATTTTCTTATTCATGTGTAGAGTTTGATACTTTTTGTTTCCTTGACATCCTATTTCATTTGGTGAAATCCTATGTCTTGTGTGGTCTGTTCAGTTTTATGTTTTTATGATGACATGACGATTGACGGGTATCAGAGACTATTCTACTAGAGATTACCGGCATGGTCATGCATAGATGATGTTTTTTTCTTCCTACCGCAGAGACAAGAGTCTGGGATTTGAAGCTCATGAGTTCGAGATTCTAGCTCTTTTAAGTTAGTGGGTTTTAAATTAATTCCTCCGTCCTAATCTATGTGAAGGTGTTTGACTGGGCATGTAGTTTAAGATTGAAAGGAATAATGTTGAAACTTGTGGTCTAAACTAAGTCATAATATATGTGTGGTTATAAATTTAAGAATATAATGAGGAGTTTAAAGTTAAATTATTACTAAATATAAAAATGTGTAATTCTTTTTGGAACGGACTAAAAAAGAAAGATTGCACATATATTGGCATGGAGGGAGTGATAATTCGTAAGTATTCAACAAGCAAGGCTATTGGGTTACTCTAGCTCCACCTTGTCCTACAGCCAAAAAATTTATTGACTGTCTGGTTTTTTATTTCTATCCTCTAATTAGAATTTAGTTATAATCCAAGATCATGAAGCTTGAGATGTTTTTATTTTAAAGAAAAAAAATGCTTTTCTTGAGATACTTCTTATTTGTATAATTACTTTAGTACATTCAACTATAAATTTATCTTTTTTTCTTGATTAGGTTTTTAATTTCAAGATTGTTCCTCTTCTCAGGGAAAAAGGAAGAATTTTTTCAAAGATTGTTACTGTTTGAACCTCTGTGGTCACTTACACTACTTCATGATAGGAGCTGAAAATAAAACACTGCTTTGTTTCTGTCACTGGGGCAGGAAGAATAAGGTGCTACCAGATGGATCCATTTCGTATGGGGGAGGTATTACTGATCAGGTTATTGTAAAGACAGGCATAAAGTACAATGATTTTGTGAATGCAGTTTTTGACCGATTAGGCATTGATCCTTCAGGCAGGATCTTGCATTTTACAGTGAAGTTTGATAGGTCCGACTTAGTACGGCTGAGGGACCAAAAAGGCATTGATACCCTGTTACAATTTAATGATGGGTTTGCTCATGTTTATGTATCAAGTTTGGAGGAGGAACCTAATTCTAGACCGCCATCAGGTCATGTGGAAAAAGTTGTACTTGTTGGTTATTCTGATTCAGAAGCAGATACAACTCCGGCAGGTGATGATGAGAATGAATTGGCAAACCCTCTGAAGAAGGCACGGCTCCAGTCAGCTGGAGATAGTAAGCCTTTGAAGAAAGCAACGGCTAATCAGTCAGCCAAAGCTGGAGACGGTAAACCTCAGCAGAATGAAGCTGTTGGTGGTGATAATCAAAAGCATGCCGGTGTAACTAGGTCATGCAGTAAATCGATGGAAATATTAAATCAAAATGGAGTGGGCCTTCCTGAAGGGAATGTGCAAAACAACAATTCCAAGATTAAGATAGTTAACAAACAGGCTTCTTTACCGACATCAGGCTGCGCAAAAAAAGTTAAAGTTGAACTCATTGTTAATTCTGATTCAGGACCAAGTACAATTCCTGATAATAATCCTCCCAAGGTGTATGATTATCCTGATCCTGAATTCCGTGATTTTGACAAGCATAAATCAGAAATTTACTTTGCAGCTGACCAGATCTGGGCTTGCCATGATGCTGATTTCATGCCAAGATTCTATGCCCGCATTAGAAAGGTATCTAGTCCTGAATTTAAGATAAAGCTGAGATGGCTTGAGGCTCATCCAGAAGATGAAAGGGAGCGCGCATGGGTCAGGGCAGACTTGCCTGTTAGCTGTGGGAAATTTAAACGTGGGAGCTCCAAATATACTTCTGATCGACTTATATTTTCTCATCAAATGCAGTGTGAAAAGGACAAGAGAGGTCTGTATATTGTATATCCCAGAAAAGGGGAAACATGGGCTCTTTTCAAGGATTGGGATATTCGTTGGAGCTCCGATCCTAAGAGTTACAGGAAGTACAAGTATGAAATTGTGGAAGTTCTTTCTGATTTTGTTGGGGATGCTGGAATCCAAGTTGGTTACTTGGAAAAAGTGACTGGATTTATTAGCATATTTCAGCGAACAAGGCCGACTGTAGTTGGTGCATTCTTTGTAAAGCCCAAAGAACTTTATAAGTTCTCTCATCGAATTCCCTCTAAAATGTCTGGAACTGAACGAGAGGATGTACCCGTGGGATCGTTTGAACTTGATCCTGCTTCTTTACCCCTCAATCCAAATGATATTTGGTGCCCTGGGAAATAGAACAAGAGCACAGGGCTGCAAAATCTGCACTGGTAGAAGATGTTCTAGCACACATGATTCTGTAGTTTTTGGAAGAAGTTGTGTATTATGGTACCCGGATAGTCCCTAAGTTTTTGTCAAGACTCTTATCTGTAGACATACAGATTCTCTGTCTTCTGCTTTGATGCAGTGAAGGTGTTTTCTCCATGTTAATGAAGCTATGTTTTATTCATAGGTCCCTTGACAAAACTTTAACTAAAAGGCTAATCAGTTTATCCTTATGAAAATAAAAACTAAAGAAAGAAATTTAAAAGTAACCTTATAATTATATCATTGAAGATTAGAGAGTGTAATTATCTCCTCTCAATTATACTTACTAATTAAGTAATAATTTGGCCAAATAAGCAGATCAAACTGTATAATTACATACTGTTGTATTCAAATTCAATTCTCATTTGAGTTTTCAAGCCAGCCGGGGTCGTTTGGTAGAGTGTATTAGAAAAAATAATGTATGCATCAGTTTTGTGTATTATTAGTACCTTGTTTGATATAATTTTTTAAGTCGGTGTATAATTAATGCTTGCATTACTAATATACTTTATTGTGTATTGAGGTATGTATCATGGATTTCTATGCATTAGTAATATAATGAGTTTCAATGCATTCATTATCATGGTTAAAAACATAATTGTCTCTCAAAACTTTTTCCACATCCTTTCCATCATATTTGTAGAGGGTATTTTTATAAACAAATATAAAAAAATTATACAACGCATATTATTTTTAATATATTTGCTAAATATTGTATAAGCAAATTTTCATCATAATTAATGCAAGCAAAACTAATACCATTAACATTACTAATACACAATATTCTGTATTATTCTTGCACATTCGGTCTTCTTAGGGCATCTCCAACCTAAACACCAAATTTTACATCAAATTTGGTGTCGGCACTATTTTAATGTAAATCAACTTCAACCCACTGCACCAAATGTTACACCGAAATGGAATATTTTTCTCTCTTCATTATTATATTATTATTTCTTATTTCATAAAATAAATTCTTTTTAAAACATTCACCATATATTATTCATATTATTTTCTTTTATAGTCGTTTAATATAAAATTATTTTATACCATAATTTTTTAAATAATATAAATTGCTAGCAAATATTAGATATTATACATTATAGTAGAATTACCATAATTTTTTTTAAAAAAAAAGTCATACATAGAAAAATTAATTTATAAAAAAAGCTAACTTTTATATCTAAAATTAATATATAAAAACATTACATAAAAAATAATTAAAAATATACAAGAAATTTAATTAAAACATATAATTTATATAATATTTAATTAAAAATTTTGTATAATAAAATAATATTAAAATATTCAATAAAGTGAATTGATGTGATGGTATAACACTGTTCACACATCAAAATAGTATAAAATTTTATATTGAATTGGAGCTCCAAAACACCAAATTTTACACGAAATAAGAATTTGGTGTTTGGATTGGAGTCTGGAGATGATCGTACACACACTATCAAACGAAAAAACGGGTGGTTACTGGTTAGTCAATGCAATTTCATTTTTGACAAAGCTTGAAAGGATAAAACGGTCAACTTTACTAAATCTTATATTCTTTCTTACCAAAAAGAAAAGGACTAAATTTTATATAGTACGTGTCCATTCCTCTTCTCTCCTCACTCTCTTTCTTACTAATCATGGATCTTCTCTCCCTAAAATCCACTGTTTTAGTCTCAAAAAAGCATGGTAGGAACTACCTCCTTAGGTCAAAATTTAACTATCTGCAGCTTCAAGGTAACCCTTTTTAACCTACCCACAGAGTATGTAAACTTGTAGTGAAACAAGGGGTACCATAATGAGATGTTTATGAATAATTGACTTAGAATGTGAAAAGAGTGAATCTTTACTACTCAAAATCAGTTTGCAATAAGTTGTTTGAGCTTTAATTAGAAAGATTGTGATTCTTGCTACAAGTTTGAAACTTTTTGCTTTCCTGGGGGTTTCTGTTTTGATCTTTTTTGCATTTGAATGAAATTTTATGGTTTAGTATGATTATCTTATTTGCTAATTTCATGCTTAACAAACTAAAATAGCTAATCTAACCACGAAATTTGTCATGTGACGACTTGTTCTTTGAGCTCATTTTGGAATTTTGTGATTAATTGAAGTTTGAAACTTTTGCTTTCTTGGGATTACCTTAACTTGGTATGCTTTCCTTATTTGCTAATTTCAAGTTTTACTGCAAAAATATTTAATAGTATCTAGTAGGTTCATGAGGATTTTTGCATAGAGATTTCTCTGAACCCATTTTGAAAATTTCTGATTCTTGGTTTAAGTTTGAAACTTTATGATTTATTGAGGATTCTGTCTTGACACCCTATTATATTAGATGAAGAGGATGTTTGGATTAACTTATTTGAAGTGTTTCGAGCTTTTAAGCACTTTTTTATTTTAATTTTGTGTGTTTGGAAAAGATAAAAAGTGTTTTTAAGCACTTACCTTTAGGCTAAAAAGGTACAAAAATAAGCTAAAAGCTAAAAGTTGGGTATTTCCAGCTTATAAGCTATTTTTAAAAAGCCAATCCAAACATCCTCGAAAATCTGGTATCTTATAAGGTCGTCATATGTTTAATTTTCTGTTTTATGATGATATGACAGGGATTATTCTGCTTGAGATAAAATGTATAGATGGGTTACTTTTTTTGTTTTGCTGACTTACATGTAGATAATGTTTTTCTTCCTACAGCCAAAAATTGTGTTGATTGGCTGGTTTTAGATTCCTATCTTTATTTGGCTATGTTCCAAGATCATGAAGGTTGAGATATATTTACTTAACGGAAAAAAATGTTTTTAATCTTGTATTTGGGGATGCTTGGTTAATGCTCATAATTTTGTGTCTTTCTTATGGATTATTATGTTAGTACATTCAGCCTTGGTAAGTAACTCCCTTTAGATTTATTGTATTTCTTGATCAGGCTTTTAGTTTTCAAGATTGTTACCCTTATCAGAAGAAAAGAAGAAAGATTTTCAGGATTGTTACTGTTTGAACATGTACACTAGTTCATGATGGAACCTGAAGATAAAACACTATTTTGTTTCTGTCATTGGGGTAAGAAGAATAAGGTGCTTCCAGATGGATCTGCTTCGTATGTGGGAGGTATTACCCGTCAGGTTATTGCAAAAACAGGCATAAAGTATAATGATTTTGTGAATGCAGTTTTTGACCGATTATGCATTGATCCTTCGGATAAGATCTTACATTTTACTGTGAAGTTTGATAGGTCCCAATTGATACAGCTGAGCGACCAAGAAGATGTCAATACTCTCTTGCAATTTAATGATGATTTTGCACATGTTTATGTATCAAGTTTGGAGATGGAGCCTCATTCTAGACTCCCGTCAGTTGGCGTGAAAAAAATTGAACCTGTTGTTTTTGATCTTGAACTAGATACTAATCCTGTACGCAATGATGAGAATGATTTGGCAAGCCCTCTGAAGAAGGCACAGTCTAACCAGTCTGCTGGAGAGAGTAATCCTCTGAAGAAAGCATGGGCTCACCAGTCAGTTAAGGACAGTAAACCTCAGCAGAAAGAAGCTGTGGGCAGTGATAATCAAAAGCATGCCGGTGTAACCAGGTCATGTGGTAATTCCATTGAAAAATTAAATCAAAATGGAGCAGGCCTCCCTGAAGGGGTTCTGCAAAACGACAATTCCAAGGTTGGGACAGATAATGAACAGGCTTCAGGTGGTGCGAAAAAAGTTGAACTTATTATTGATTCTGATTCTGATTCTGATTCAGAGTCAGAATCAAATACTGTTCCTGATGGTAATCTTCCAGAGGTGTATGATTATCCTGACCCTGAATTTAGTGTTTTTGACAAGCATAAAGCACAAAATTGCTTTGCAATTGATCAGATCTGGGCTTGTTATGATACGGCTGATGGTATGCCAAGATTCTATGCCCACATTAGGAAGGTATACAGTCCTGAATTTAAGGTGATGTTCAGTTGGCTTGATGCTTATCCAGAAGATCAAAGGGGCAGAGCTTGGGTCAGGGCAGAGTTGCCTGTTGGCTGTGGGAAATTTAGACGTGGAAGTACTGAATTCACTTCTGATCGACTTACATTTTCTCATCAAGTGCAGTGCGGAATGGGCAAGAGAGGCCTGTACATTGTATATCCAAGGAAAGGAGAAACGTGGGCCCTTTTCAAAGATTGGGATATTAGTTGGAGCTCTGAACCAGATAATCATAGGAAGTACAAGTATGAAATCGTGGAGATACTTTCTGATTATGCTGTGGATGTTGGTGTCCTAGTTGGTTATTTAGATAAAGTTTCCAGATTTGTTAGCCTTTTCCAGCGAATGAGGCCGACTGAAGTTGGTACATTCTTTGTAAAGCCAAATGAACTTTACAAGTTCTCTCATCAAATTCCGTCTTTTAAAATGACTGGAACCGAACGAGAGGGTGTACCTGCGGGATCGTTTGAACTTGATCCTGCTTCTTTACCCCTCAATCCTGATGATATTTGGTACCCTGGAAGAGTTATGGAAGACAGCAGGGCTGCTAATTCTGAACCTGTAGAAAATGATCTACCTGCAGTTCCACTTGGAGCTAGAGATAAATCAAGGAAAGCAACAACATCTCTGAAGTCTGGGGATGACATCCATGCTACTAATGGAGAGTCTTCTAAGGTTCAAATACCTCCTAAAAAAATGAACATCTCTGAGAAAAAGCGAACTCAGATGAGCTCTTGTTCTGCCAATGACGGTCCTTCCACTGACTTTGATGATAATTGTGTTAAAAAAAGCCGTCACTCAAGTCCCCGCATGCCAATTCATTTGTCATGTCAAGCCGATAGAGAGTTGCATTCACGCACGAAGAGATTTGGTCTCAGCAACTCCATTGGAAGCTCCACAAAAGTATCAACTTTTTCAGATGATAAAGGTTTTGAAGAAACTTTTTGTGATTTTGAGATGGACAGATCT